CCTGGGACAGCGTGGAGCACGGAGTGACATGGCGTCGTAACCAATCTGGAGCCAAGGGACCTTGGTGTTCCACCCGGCGAGACCTTGCAGTCGCCAGGAAGGAGCTGTCTGTGTGGCTGACGGACAGTGCCCGCCCAGGACCGGTGTGAGTGCGTGCCTGGGTCCTGTCCCCCGTGCAGAGGGATCTGCAAGGACAGGCCCGCAGCTTCCTCCTGCAGGACGGGCGACAGGCGGGCCGAGAGCTCACTCGGCTCTATGTCGTCCTCCGAGTTTTCTTTCTTTCTTTTTTTGTGTGCAATGAACATATATTACTCGTATCATTAAGATAGAACATTTTTGCCCTAACCGGTTTGGCTCGGTGGATAGAGTGTCGGCCTGTGGACTGAAGGGTCCCAGGTTGGATTCCGGTCAAGGGCATGTACCTTGGTTGCGGGCACATCCCCAGTAGGAGGTGTGCAGGAGGCAGCTGATCAATGTTTCTCTCTCATCGATGTTTCTAACTCTCTATCCCTCTCCCTTGCTCTCTGTAAAAAATCAATAAAAATTTAAAAAAGATAGAACATTTTTTCTCTGTGAAAAGAAAAAGGTACCAGACAGGTGGCAGTTTCAGTTAACCTTTGAAAAAGGAACCGGGCCCGTGGGGGACAGGGACAGGGACAGATGTCTTTTGAGTCTGAGAATTAGGCTGAGCCGCCACTTCCTCCCTCCCAGCGGTGCGGGGCCATTGGCTGTGGACCGGTCACCAGATGGCTCCCAGCCTCCTCGTCCTCCCCCGGGCCCTGCCCCAGGGACAAAGGCAGGGCCTGGCCCCCTGGCGGCCACAACCTCTGCAGCTCTGCTCCCTGTGTCCTGCTCCTCTCGGCCTGTGGTCCTTGCCTGAGCAGAGACCAGCAGTGGACGGAGGTGGGGAGCTGGGGACTGCCCAGACCCTACTGGCTTGGAATGCAAATGAAGGGGGACAGAAATAGACCTTTAAAAAAACATTTGTATTGATTTCAGAGAGGAAGGGAGAGGGAGAGAGAAACATCAATGAGAATCACTGATCACCTGCCTCCTGCATGCCCCCCACTTGGGATTGAGCCCACAACCCCGGGCATGTGCCCTGACCGGGAATCGAACCGTGACCTCCGGGTCCCTAAGTTGACACTCAACCACTGAGCCACGCCCGGCCGGGCAGAAATAGACCTTGCCGAACCCCACTCAGCCGGATTCAGTCTCTGCCCTGTGACTTAGTGTCCGGGGTTAGGTTAGAACCAACTTTGGCAGATTGTTCTCAGTCCGGGCTGCCCGCCCTGGCACCTGGGTCTCCACGTCCTCTCTGGTTCTCTACACACCCGTGTCCCCCTCCCCATCTCCTTTCCAGCCACCCCGCCCGCCTGCCCACCATGGCCTCCGCAGACAAGAATGGCGAGAGCGTCTCCTCTGTGTCCGGCAGCCGCCTGCAGAGCCGGAAGCCGCCCAACCTGTCCATCACCATCCCGCCGCCCGAGACCGCGGCCCCTGATGAGCACACCAGCATGCTGCCCCAGGTGAGGGCGGCCGGCTCCCGTCCGCCACAGGTGCCAGGTGTGCCCGGGGGACACCTCCCGGGCAGTTCCGCTTCCTGGAGGAGGCTCCGTCCCCAGCACGGCTGCCCGAGTGGCCCCAGACTTAGGCCTGTGCCCCTCTGTCCGAGCCCCAAACAGCGCAGGGACTGGGCCCTGCACTCAGGAGCGCCACCTCACGGCGGTAAATGGGAGCTGCTGTCCCGGGGACAGGCTGGGCCGTCCCACCTGGGACTTGGCTGTTTCCATCTCCTCGCCCGGCCCTTCCGGGGGGCGTGGGCTGTCTGGTGGGACTTGGGTGAAGGGGCACGTGTGTCCTCAGCCCCAGCAGCCTGACCTCAGCGCCTGCTCCTCGGAGAGAACAGAAACGAATCAATGTTTCCAACCGGCTGGACCCCGGTCCATAAAGAGCTCATTGAAGACGGCTCGGCGCAGCGTGGGCTCCGCGCAGCCTGGGCATAAAGGGGCTGTGTTGGTGCCGCCCGCTCACCCACGGGTGCTTTCAAACACACAGCGGCAGGCCGGGCGCCGTGGCGTGACGGGGGAGCGCTGAGTGAGGAGGCAGGGAATGCACGCTGGGGTTTTCTGAAAAACATTAGAAAACGGTGATTTTGACCCTCGAGATGAAAGCTACTCGGGGGTGTAAGTTGGGGCTGAGGTTTGTTCTCAGAGGTTTCATGTTGGGAGCCGGGAGCCGGGCTCCGCGCGTGCGCACGCCCACCCTCTGCGGCCTCCCGCCCCCCACAGAGGCCCAGGAACCCCACCTTCCTGAAGAGCGTCAGCCTGCAGGAGCCCCGGGGACGATGGCACGAGGGCTCCGAGAAGCGCCCCGGCTTCCGCCGCCAGGCCTCCCTGTCTCAGAGCATCCGCAAGTGAGCACGCCGCCCGCCCGCCCGCCTGCCCGGCCTGTCCCTGTGTCCCCGTGTCCCGTTCTAGAAGGCGCAGGCTGGCCTTAGTGAACGGCCTCTCCCTCAGGGTGGACGGGGAGTCTAACACCGTGTTGCAGGTGGGAAGCTGGGGCGCAGGGGCATGTGCCTGCGTAGTCACAGGTGGATTCTGAGGGGTTCGAGGGGCTGGGGTGGCCACTGCCGCTCAGAGTGGCTCCCAGGGGCCAGCCCAGCCCCGCTCCTCATGCTCTGGATGCTTCTCCACCTCTGCTCCTCTGGCCACGGGGACCGAACCTGCCCCTGACACTGCATACATGTGCCCTTCACCTTGTCACCCCCTGCACACATGCCCAGTCACCTGTCATCCACTCTTTACACACATGCCTTGTCACCTTGTCACTCTCTGCATACACACGTGTGCCATGAACTCTCATCACTTCCCCTGTGCACACATGTGCATGGTCAGCTCTGGTCACGCCCTGCACATGCACATGACCTGTCCCCTCCCTTCACACATTCGAGGTCACCTCTCGTCAGCCCTTACACACGTGCACGGTCACCTCTTGTCACAGCTGCATGCACACGTGTGCCATCAACTCTCACATCGCGTCCCCTGTGCACACGTGGGCACGGTCAGCTCCCGTTACCCCTCCGCACGCGCGTGCCCTGTGCTAGTCCTCGTAGCCTCGCGGCCGTGCATGTGCGCGCGCACACCGCCCCCTCCGTCCGCAGGGGCACCGCGCAGTGGTTCGGGGTCAGCGGCGACTGGGAGCTGGAGCGGCAGCACTGGCAGCGCCGGAGCCTGCACCACTGCAGCGTGCGCTACGGCCGCCTCAAGGCCTCGTGCCAGCGCGACCTGGAGCTCCCCAGCCAGGACGTGCCTTCCTTCCAGGACAGCGAGTCTCCGAAGCCCTGCAAGATGCCCAAGGTGGGCTCCATCCGGCCGAGCGGGCGGCGGGCGCTTCGCCAGGGGCCCGGCCGCTCTGCTCACCGCCTCCCTCCCGTCCAGATTGTGGACCCGCTGGCCCGAGGCCGGGCCTTCCGCCACCCGGACGAGGTGGACCGGCCCCACGCCCCACACCCACCGCTGACCCCCGGGGTCCTGTCGCTCACCTCCTTCACCAGCGTCCGCTCTGGCCACCTGCCCCGCCGGAAGAGGATGTCTGTGGCCCACATGAGTTTTCAAGCGGCCTCTGCCCTCCTCAAGGTGAGGCCGCCCTGCCTCTGCCCACTCTCCCTCCCGCTCCCCACAGCAGCCCCCAAGAGCCCACCTCGGCGCCTCCCTCTGTGCCCAGGGCAGTGGATGCCTGGGACCCCTGGGCAGAGGGAGGGCCTGCAGCCCAGCAGCTGGGCCCACGTCCCAGCCCCCGACTCCCTCCTGCGCCCCTGCAGCTCTCTGGCTTGGGAAACTGGTTTTGCACCGATGGGCTGTGAAGCCGGTGCCGTGTTCCTGGCCCTCGGTGCTCTGGGCTGATCGCACCTTCGAGGCGCTATCCCCAGAGGGAGGGCTTGACGGCCCCTTTGGTGTCGGGGGCGCCCGACCCGGCCTGATGCCCATGCCTCGGCCCTGTGCACAGGGGCGCTCGGTGCTGGATGCCGCTGGGCCGCGGTGCCGGGTGGTCAAGCGCAGCTTCGCCTACCCCAGCTTCCTGGAGGAGGATGCAGTTGACGGGGCAGACACATTTGACTCCTCGTTTTTTAGTAAGGCAAGCATGGGGCGCGGGCCCTCGGGGCAGGGGACCGGGTGGCCTGGGAGCTGGGCGGAGTGACCTGGCCCTGACCATCCCCTGCCAGGAGCCCCTGAGGGACCCAAAGGCCCATTGGTGGGATGGATGTGCCACCTTGGGGCACTCCCAGGTCCCTGTTTTTCTGTCAGAGCGAGGATCTGGGGGTGGGGCAGGGTGTCCCCCAGAAAAGTCAGCCAGGGCCAACACATGCACCTTCCACTTCCCTCCCGACGCGCCTGGCTGGGCCTGCCTTTGACTTGAGCGGTGCCGGGCAGAACTGGGGACCAGGACCCCTTCACGCTGCCTCTGTGTGTGTCCGCCACCCCCCCCCCCCCAGGAAGAAAATGAGCTCCATGCCCGACGACGTGTTTGAGTCTCCCCCACTCTCCGCCAGCTGCTTCCGGGCGATTCCGCGCTCGGCCTCCCCCGTCTCCCCCGACGGGGTGCAGGTCTCTCTGTGAGTTCTGGGCGGCCCCTCCTGCAGGAGGAGGGAGGTGGCAGAGCTGGGAAAGGACTCCCCAGAGCCCGGGGATCTTGGGGGGGGCGTCCCAGACCACAGGTCCCTCCTGGGCCGCGTGAGGTGGCACTGGGCTGAGAGCCGCCGTCCCAGCAGGAGGGAGTACGGCCGCACCCCGGTGCCCGTGGCCAAGCGCGGCAAGCGCATCGCCTCCAAGGTGAAGCACTTTGCCTTCGACCGGCAGAAGCGACACTACGGCCTGGGCGTGGTGGGCAGCTGGCTGAACCGCCGCTACCGCCGCAGCATCAGCAGCACGGTGCAGCGGCAGCTGGAGAGCTTCGACAGCCACCGGTGAGTGGCGGGCGCGTTCCTGGGCCGTCCACTCCGGGAGCGCTGGGAGGGGCCTCTTCTCCACCGGGACTCCCCACTTCCCGGCCTCCCAGGAAGCGGTCCGTCAACAGCATCCATTGAGCACCAGCCCGCAGGCCCTACAACGGAGCCCCGACAGAATGCAGCAGGGCGGGCTGGGTGGGTCAGAGGGACAGTTAGACCCCCAGCCCCAGCCATGAGTGAGGGGACTTGGGGGGGAGGGGGACACATGCAAAGACCTTGGGGGAAGCCAGAGAATGGGGAGGGGCAGTTCTCGCAGAGTAGACGATTGACAGTGACCCAATAGAGATTCGATCCCAAATTACAAAGCGCTAAGTAATAACAAGTGTGGCCAGTGTCCTGAGGAGGGGGGCGGAGAGCGGGAGGGAGCAGTTGGGGGTGCGGTCAGGATGAGCAGCAGTTAGCTGGCTGAGGAGAAATGGGACGAACCTCGCTGACAGAGGAAGCAGCATGTGCAAAGGCCCTGTGGCTGCCAGGAACTGCAAGAGGAGAGGAAGCCTGGGAGGTGGGTGGGCCCAGCAGGGCGTTGCCACCAGTGGGAGGGGCCGATGTTAGACTCTATCCAGGGCAGCGAGCGGGAAGCCACCCAAGGGTTGGGAGCTGGGAGAGAGACGCGTAGAGGTGGCATTTGGAAGCTGCTGGTGAAGGATGAGTGGAAGAGAGTGGAAGTGCAGGGTGGGGAGCAGGGGGCGCTGAGCGTCGGGGTGCTGACCCAGCCTCTGCCCCAGGCCCTACTTCACCTACTGGCTGACGTTCGTCCACATCATCATCACGCTGCTGGTGATCTGCACGTACGGCATCGCGCCCGTGGGCTTCGCCCAGCACGTCACCACCCAGCTGGTGAGTTGGGCTGCAGAAGTGGGGTTCCATCCTGGGGTCCCAGCCCCCCGAGAGGCTTCAGCATCACGGGCCATTGAATGCCTCCCACAGCAACAACTGGCCCAGGTGGGAGGGTGCACTGGCCACTGCTTTGCCCCTTGGCCCTTTCCTGGGGGCTGGCCCTGGCACGGAATCCCTGACGCCTCCTTCCACCTCCTTGCACCCCTGCCCAGGTGCTCAGGAACAAAGGTGTGTACGAGAGCGTGAAGTACCTGCAGCAGGAGAACTTCTGGATCGGCCCCAGCTCGGTGAGGGCCCAGGGGACAGCCAGCGTCTCAGCAGGAGCCCTGGGCCCTGTCTCCCCAGCTGGGCAGGGAGGGGTCAGCTTGCCCGTACCCCCCTCATCAGGGGACACCCAACAGAGCTGGGCGCTCACTACCCCCCACCCCCCCAGATTGACTTGATCCACCTGGGAGCCAAGTTCTCGCCCTGCATCCGGAAGGACCAGCAGATCGAGCAGCTGGTGTTGCGGGAGCGAGACCTGGAGCGGGACTCAGGCTGCTGTGTCCAGAATGACCACTCGGGCTGCATCCAGACCCAGCGGAAGGACTGCTCGGTGCGGGCGGGGCCGCCATCCACCCTGGGCCCTACACCACGTCCACTGCCCTGGCCTGGGGGAGGGACCCTTCAAGGGCAGTGACCACATCCCCTCTTCCTTCCTCTGCCCTCCCCAACCTCATGCAACCCTGTCCACACCCCTGCACACCCCTGTCCACACCCCTGCACATGGCCCAGCACTGGAAGGATGCCGCCCTCCCCAACCCAAGCCAGTGAAAGCCGGGTCTTGAGAATGTCACCCAGGGGTGGGGTCCTGAGAAACAGGAAGAGCCCGATCCTGGTGCGTCCCCTGACCTCTCTGGTGGGTGTGGCCGTCCTGGCCTGACCAGCCCCCCTCCCTCCCCCAGGAGACTTTGGCTACTTTTGTGAAGTGGCAGGATGACACGGGGCCCCCCGTGGACAAGTCCGATCTGGACCAGAAGCGGACGTCAGGCGCCGTGTGCCACCAGGACCCCAGGTAGAGTCCCAGGTGGCCCTCGGCACGGCTGTCTGAGAAGATGGGGCTGAGGGTCGCATTGTCTGTGCCCCCCACAGGGACGTTGGTAGTGGGTGTGGCCCCAGCCCCTCATTTTGCCCCCCTCTGGCCTCTCCCTCCAGGACCTGCGAGGAGCCAGCCTCCAGTGGTGCCCACATCTGGCCTGATGACATTACCAAGTGGCCAGTGAGTACCCGGGGCAGAGAGTGGTCTGAGAAGGGCGGGGAGGGGCTCCCGCCACACCACCCACCCGGTCGGTGCCCCGCAGATCTGCACGGAGCAGGCCAGGAGCAACCGCACGGGCTTCCTGCACATCGACTGCCAGATCCGCGGCCGCCCCTGCTGCATCGGCACCAAGGGCAGGTGAGCCGCCCGCCTGCGCACTGCGCTCATGTCCTCCTCGTCCACTCTGGGGCCCTGTGGTGGGAGCAGGACGAAGGGGCACTTCCCCAGAGCCGGGTCTCAGGGGCACCGCCTTCCCACTAGCAGTGCTGGCTGTGGCCAGGCACTGGCGCCAGGCAAGGTGGGCAGGTACTCCGGGCCCTGACACCCCCCCTCCCCCCAGCTGTGAGATCACCACTCGGGAGTACTGTGAGTTCATGCACGGCTATTTCCACGAGGAGGCGACGCTCTGCTCGCAGGTGAGGTGGGGCCTGGCGGGACCCAGTGGGGCTCTGGGCACAAGACGCTGGGCGTTGCCGGGCCGGCGTGGCTCAGTGGTTGAGCGTCGACCTGTGAACCAGGAGGTCATGGTTTGATTCCTGTCAGGGCACAGGCCCGGGTTGTGGGCTTCATCCCCAGTGTGGGGCGTGCAGGAGGCAGCCGATCCATGATTCTCTCTCGTCATTGATGTTTCTCTCTCTCCTTCTCCCATCCTCTCTGAAATCAATAAAAATATATTTATTGAAAAAAAAAAGGCTGATGCCATTTTGGGGCTCAGCCCCATCTGGTTTTCCAGCTGACCTAATAAATTCTTAGTTCTTTACCCCCCCTGCTCCCCCACAAAGAGAAGCCGTGCATGGCAGCTACTGCAGCTGGCCTCACGCGTGCCCTCCTGCAGCGGGTATCGGCTCTGCCCACCCCACACCCGGGCCTCCGACCCAGCCAGGCCCGGCACTGACCCCCTGCTCGCCCCCAGGTGCACTGCTTGGACAAGGTGTGCGGGCTGCTGCCCTTTCTCAACCCCGAGGTCCCGGACCAGTTCTACAGGCTCTGGCTGTCTCTGTTCCTCCACGCCGGGTAAGGCGCCGAGATGCCCACCTGCGGAACCCTGCGGTGGCCGCCCACCTGGACCCCCGCAGAGGCGGCTCCTGGGGCAGGGCGCAGCCCTCCCGCCCAACTCCCCAGAGTGCTTGCAAATCAGGCTAGTCAAACGGGAAAGCTGATGCAAGTTCTCCTTCGCCC